CTTGTAATCGGTTCCCTCTTTCCAACCCACTCTCCCTCTCCCCTCCCAGTATTGCCACTGTTGTGATAGCTCTTGAGAGAATACAATTCACTTACTCAAATTATTCTCATTTTAGATCATATCTTTTACTTACATAAAACATAATAATTGTGTTGATAATGTAGGTTAAAGTACCATTTGTATTTTAGCCACATATTATGTGTTTTAGAAGAATGTGAATAATTTTAGTTTTGTAGTACTTTGATATTGATACTCGGGTCTTAATATGTGATTATGATGACAAGTATAAATAAACACACAACATTGAAAGGCCCTGAAACTAGAACTAGATGATCTTTATAGTTTGACTTTTTAAGATTCTGCGGCTCTGATGTGAATTCAGGAGTATTACAGATTTTAACTGTTAACTTTGTAGTTTTGGTGAGAAACATTATATAGGGTATTGGGGATAAAATATCGTGTAAAACAGTGTTTGCTTTCATTTCAAGGAACTCAGGCTCAGAGGAGAAATAGCTGTGTGAATGGAATTTATTGTATTTAATTTTTTTCACTTCAGGACTTAAAGGAGGAAGAATATTTGGTTTTTATGTGATTCAAGAGGGATCTCACAAAATCTTAATTAGATGGAGTCTTTAAGAGTAAAGTAGAAATTTGTATGGTAGTAAGAGATTGAAATGTAATTTTCCCCCGGTAGCTAATGATTATATCTATTTGACGGCAACTTTACCTACACTAATTTAGTTCCTTAAGAAGTAGTTAAATCCTGTAAAGTTGTCACTATTTCTTAAAGCTTCCATTTTACACATATAGAAATGGAGGTACAGCAAAACAAAAGTGACTCCTACCAATGTCACACAATCACTAGTGGTGGAATTTGACTTCTAACCCAGGTCGTCAGGTTGTTGTACTGCTCTGCCAGTTTGGCTCTTGTTTATCTTTTATCAGTTTCAACGTAGGAAAAGATTGTACTTCAAAAGTTTGTGCAAATTTCAAAATTAAAACATTGGAGACTATATTCTAGAAAATCCCCCCGGATCTATTTTATGTCTAATAATATCTCGTGTAGTATTAGAGAAATTAATCATTATTGTTAACAATAATGATTCACATTTCTAGTTTAGGTGCCAAACACATCTGCCACATTAGCTACGTCCAGTTAAGATACTTCTTCTACTTCAAAAAGATGCTTCTTCACAACAAATCATTGCTGTCCCATAGGCTTGGGGTGCACGCTAGTAACACTGCTGATGTAAGGAGCAGTTAGAAAATTGGGGTGAAGAGCTGTGGTGAGTTGGAAATTTTAATCCTTATAAGCATTTGGCAGCACCATAAAGATTCACTGTCTGGGAAACCGTATAGGGCAGTTTCACCCCTCCCTCCCTATATGGTCACTGTAAGTTAGCAGCAATGGGTATGAACAGTTGCATTTGTTCCAAGATTGTCTCATTTCTTATACTCTGAGGACCCTAAAGATTAACTTGAACTCTTTCCTTTTTATACTTTGACTGCTTATTGCTTGCAGCTGTGATTTGTTTTCATCCAGTTCAAAGAAAGCATGTACTCTTACAGAGCCTTATCTGGGGTTTTAAGGTCTCACTGATGCCTGCCTGCCTGCCTGCCTTTCTTATTTCCATATATCCAATCATTCCTTAAGGATCTTTTTGGGAAATTGATAAAGTCCTTGATTGATAGTAGATTAGTAGAGCCTCCCCGCCCTCTGCAACCCCACCCCCACTCCCCTGGGTGATACATTGTTGGAAATAAAGAGCTTTCTTTTGGTTTGTAAGGAATGGATTCGCTGCCATCCTAAGAGCATGGGAGTGAAAAAGAAAAGCTTTTCTCTACTAATAGAAATACTTACGAAGAAGGACCTTCAACAAGCGATTCGGCTTCATACTTTATGATTGTAGACTGCCCACCCTATCTTATAGGACAGGATAAAACTGCCCCCTGTGAACTCAGTGGCATTGAGCATGGCTTTTTGGGAGACTACACACAGTTAGATTGTAGAGTTCCCAATTATTCTATAATGTTGGGCTATGGCTGTTTTTTCTTACCTAACAGTTTAATACTTATCTTGGTGATAAGTAATTAGAGGTCTTTTGATATACTAATCTGCATTGTTTATTTCTTAACTTTGTCCTTTACACACTGTTCAGCTGATTTTTGCTATCTTTCACCTGATGATTGCCACTGTTTGCTCCAAGGCAACAATCCACTTAGAAAAGGCAATGTCATAACTTCCTG